AAAAAATAGTGCAATGTGACAGTGTCTGAATATACTCTATAGTAAAGATATTTGCTCTTAAGAGTTTTGTTGTTTTATTGCCTACTATCATGATAACTTATCTATAGAGAAACCTTTTCTTGCAAAGTGGTATAGACAAGAACAGATTTAAAAATAAATAAATTATAATTATGGTCATTTTCTTTCATTGGGGTTGGGGACGTGGGAAGAAACATTGGAATTTCTCTTATTTTTAAATCTACACCTTGAAGAAGAAAAAAAAAAAAATCAAGACCCCCCTTTCAAAAGACATAAACATTTCAACCCCCTCCCCCCCAAAAAAAAAAAAGCCACCACCGAACAATTACACACAAACACACACACACACACATTTTTAATATTTTTGTTCGTAATAACAAAAACAACGCATTAAGTTTCTATTGCAATTTAAGTTTAAAATATTGCGTCAGTAATGGATGTAAAACTTCAAGTGTGGAAGTTGTTTGCGACATCAGGGAACTTAATTTGGATATGCCTTTATGGTCTCATTGATATCTACCACACCTCTATTCGATATTAGCTTCAGATGAAAAATACTCTGCTAGAATAAATTGTGGAAACTAAGAATTTAGGTTTTCACAAATGAGGCGAGCGGAACGAGCGGTTAAAATTGATGTTTACGGATGACGAAGACATCACCATAACATTATACGGCGGCAATTCTATTACCATAAATATTGAATACCACCTTTCCATTCCAAAAATATTAAAATTAAAGGCCCCCTTTATTTCTTCCTATCCCCTTTTTTTGGGGGGGGGGGGGGGTTACAAATGACCGGTTCCTTATATGAGCCATTACCCTATCAATGTCCAATTTTTGCCCATTTTTGGTGTCTATCTTGAGAAAAGTAATATATAAAGAAAAACTTGAACAGCTAAAATGATCAGCAAGGCAAAATTTAGGAAAATGAACATATTTGAAATTCGTGCATTAACTTCTAATAGAAAAAAAGCTAACGCTAAGTGTAAAGATATTGACAAATATAATGCCTACCCTTGTTAAAATGAGCATAGAGCATGGCATAAAATAAATATTTCTTAAATTTAATAACTTTAACCGTATATTCATATTTTGACAATTTTCCAACAATATCAGATGTGATTTGTTGCATCTTAAAACGAGGTACCAACATGCCAAGGTTTATCTCTTTTTAAATCTCAACTATTTTCCAAACGATAGCTACAGATTTTACCCGGGTTTATATTAATTCCACAGAAGCGGAACGGAATCATTTATGACGTAGACAGTCATCATTCTAATCGTAATCATGATCATTGACCATAACGACTATGAAAGCACATCATATAATGACGTTTCGACATCATATAATGAAGTAAACCAAACCACATCATATAAGATTACAAGCACATAATATAATGACACAACCACATCATATAAAGATGTTTGTACATAAAATAATGGAAAATGCACATCATATAAGTATATTTGTACATCATATAAGTATATTTGCACATCATAAAAGGATATTTGCACATCATATATTAAGTATATTTGCACATCAAATAAGTATATTTGCACATCAAATAAGTGTATATGCACATCATATAAGTATGTTTGCACATCATATAAGAATGTTTGCACATCATATAAGGATACTTGTACATAATATAAGGATAATTGCACATCATTCTGCATACTGACGTTGTTTATCATCTTAACAACGTGTAATATTGTTCTTTCATTTGTCTTTGTTCTATTATTAATATTACTTTTACTGTTTGGTTTGTTTTCTGTGATATCCATTTGACGTGGCTAGGTACTTATACATCCCGTCAATGTGTTTGTATTATCTTTAATTTTTACTGGTGTGTTTTGTATATGCGACTTTTTGTGTTTCTGTGGTTCTTATAACGTGACTCTGTACTTTAAAAGATCCCGTCATTATGTTATTGTTCTATTATATGTCATTATGTTATTGTTCTATTATAAATTTGAAAATACTTTGAACGACAAACGACAAATTTATTTTACTCGCGTAGTGGTATTTACCATATGTGGATTCTTAAGGGTTCTGAAGAACTTCTGGACAATTATAAATCTCGGTCTATTTCTGAAATTAATTCTAACATAACTTTTGATTTTTTAACCCTGTATACCAACATTCCCCATGTGAAATTATAAAATTGTTTTGAATAGACATTGAATGACAAACTTTTTTCTGATGTGACGTTTACATTTTCTGACGTCAGACACGCGAAGCAATGAATGTGGGTCTTAATTTGATAGATGCTTTTGTGCTTTTTTTGTAAATAATTGTTTGTTTTGATATTGTAACACAGTGATGACTGCTGTACCCATATTTTGACTATTTTATTTATAATGTCTGTTTTGTTCACGCATCGTTGTAAATATAACGAAATTTGATAAGACTGTCGTACAAGTGAGAGGTTTAGCGCTATAAAACCAGGTTCAATCCACCATTTTCTACATTTGAAAATGCCTGTACCAAGTCAGGAATATGACAGTTGTTGTCCATTTGTTTGATGTGTTTTGTCATTTGATTTTGCCATGTGATTAGGGACTTTCCGATTGAATTTTCCTCGGAGTTCAGTATTTTTGTGATTTTATTTTTTTCATATAAAGGTGTTGTCACATCATTTAATGACAATTGCACATTATATAAAGGTAAATGCACATCATATAATGACAATTGCACATCATATAAAGGTAAATGCACAACATATAATGACAATTGCACATCATATAAAGGTAAATGCACATCATATAATGAAAATGGTCATAACAAGACGGTGTTGGCGTTCCATAGGCTTTGCTCTATGTTGGGGTCATATGGTGACCTACATGTATAGTTGCAATCATTTACATCATTTGGTCTCTGATAGATAGTTGTCTACTTTGGCAATGATATCACATCTCATAATTTAATATCATTTTTTAGAATAGAGAAATGTGTTACACAGTAGCTTAAAATTATAATTAAAAAAAAGCTAGAAATGTGTGTACTTGACCATTAAAAAAGAGCAAAGAATGAAGCGTGTTCAATTTTATTATTTTTTATCTTTTTATTTTATTTAGAAAGTTCACTGCCAATTTAATGTAATGCTGAAAAGCAACAATACGTTAAAAAAACGCTACAATGTGTGAAATAATTACTCTAATTCACATTTAAACTGACATTATGGTAAATTATATGTCGGGCAATTTTTGTTTTAGACTTCCTTCATTTTGTTTTGCATAATATTCACTAAACACTCTCTTTCTAAATTAGACGGAATATAGTGATGGGTGGTTCTGTCCACCTATTCTTTCGTCCTTTTGTCCATGCATAGTACTCAAAACCAGATGGCTCGGGAAAAGTGTTTATTTTAACATTAAAACGATGCGCAGCACGACAACATTCTATCGAGAATTGGAACCAACCTTGGAATTAGATTTTCCTCAAAACTGTGTAAATTTATGTGATAATATTTAAGCGAACCTTCCACTAATTGTTACGTCATAAAACATGTATAGGAGACACCAAATTAGCCCAAACCGCAGAGGGAAAACAGAAAATGCAAAAAACGAAATAGAAGAATTTCAGAATGTCAAGTTTATGTCGATTACGCCATCAGACGTTTAAAACATTAAGGGTTGGCAAGACTTTGATAAGACATTAAAGACACGAATCAAATCAAATTGTTGAATTGTGAGCTGAACTTGTGGAGAGGCAAACTGAGTTATTTGACTATTAAACATATTCTACTCATATCACTTAATGTATATATTTGGACTTGTGGCCGTAAAATCCGCCATTTCCATTCGTGGCCCTACATATATTTTTTTTTAAAGTTCTGTTTTGCACACTTTAATCAAACAAATACAAATGAATGTTTTAAAATCTACGTAAGGTCAATGCACGCCTTAAAATTTGGAGTCAACGTTAATTGTTCGCTTAATGATGTATCAAGCACACCACAAAACTGAACTATACTACGCCGGGATACTTTTCGATGCAATTGCATTTTGAAAAAGTCCACACTTTAATTTTGTATCGGTTTTGGTATTTAACATCAGCGCAGTATTTAAATCCCTTTCTTTTCTACTAGGATTGTAAATATAAATAATAAGATATGGTATGAGTGCCAATGAGACAACTCTCCATCCAAGTCGAAATGTATAAAAAGTTAACAAATATAGGTCAAAGTACGGCCTTCAATACGGAGCCTGGTAACTATGCTTTATATTATCACCTTGGACTTTACGACCTCACTGTGGTTTTTTTAAATTTCTGACCAGTTGAACAGTTTGGTTTGATAAAACAGATTGCTATTTGATCAGAATTTTTAATAAACTACAATAGGCGGAGAGCAACACTTACAGTCAAGTCACAATCTACATCTTGTCCTTTAATCTGAAATTTGAATTCACTGCAAGAGACTTAGAGCAACACTTACAGTCAAGGTACAGTTTATAATTTTAATGATGATTTATGTCAGCAATAGTGATCTATGTATCATGCCAGCTGAGGACCACCTCTTGGTGCGGGATTTTCTCCCTGCGTTGGAGACCCATTGGCTGTTTTCTGCTCTTTGGTCGGGTTGTTGTCTCTTTGACATATTCCCTATTTCCATTCTCAATTTTATAGACTGAGAGTGTAATGATTTCCGATGAAAATAGGCACATGTTTTATGCTCGTCTTTTTAAAATTCATCCTTATCCTATTCTTGACTGTTTTAATTCAATTCATATTGTTTATTCATATAAATAATAAGATTTGGCATGAGCGCCAATGAGACAACTCTCCATCCAGTTCACAATGCGTAAAAAGTAAACAATTACAGGTCAAAGTACGGCCTTCAACATTGAGCTTTAAATTACACCGAACAGTTAGCTATAAAGGGCCCAAATATTACTAGTGTAAAGCAATTGCATCGTCTAACATTTTTGTGCAATCAAATACCATGAACCCAATGTTTGCAGAAATAATCACAGATACCTTAAATTTATCTTCTTTTGTACATACAACAATAATTGGAGGGTCCAATTGATAATTATAATATGTAGAAGTCGAACGGTAGCAATGAATGGCATCAAACCAAAAACTCACATACTCTGTAACGAAAACGTGTATTCGAAGATATAAAACAGTAAGTAAACTTTAACCTACGATATTTCTTTATTTAACACGTTGTTAGCAGATACTTAAATGTAGCAAAAAACAAATACTAGACCTGAAATCAGCAAACTTATTCAAACGTGTATTAGAATAAGATTATTTAAATCAGTATGTATAAAAATGTATAATAAACGAATGACCAATGTAACATCATTAACTATAAAAAATATCACAACTAACATATTTCGATATACAAAATGTATATGTTGAAAATCTGTCTTTTGTCGTACGCAAACATTGGTTGTATTGTCTACAATGCCATTCTGATGTTTCATAAATAAAGTCATATTAATGAATTGAATGTTTATAGAAAATGCAATTGAATGGGTTATATTAGCTTTATTTGGTGCAAATGTCAAGCTTATGGGTCTTCAATAATCTGCAACTTCGAGTTTTAGTAAGTTTTATATAATGTACAATATCAAATAACGTGAGGTATCAATATTTGTTTGTTATACTTGACTATTGTGTGCATGTACATGTATATCTTTTATATAAAAGCAAAATAATTATAGATAAATGTTGTGATTGAAAATAGGCGACTACACCTGTACACTGGACAGCATTTTTCTATACACGTAACATTCTTGTTTATCAGATGATTATGGAAACCTTCAAATATCTTTTAAAATAAAACAAAATGCTAAAGACATTTTTAGAAACAGTTTCTCCATAAATTCAAAACTTACGTCCCAAGTCTTCAATATCAGTCCCTATATTATCAGATGTGGTAAATTTTAAGCTATCGATTACCAGCAAAAACACTGCACAATTTGACAAGAAAACTTGGTGAATGGCATAAAAATCCTTCTGGCCAGCAAATTCCCATAACCAGCAGAACGCTTGTTCCTTTTGCTGAAAATGTGATTTCATAATTGTAAACGTCAACTGGTTTATACTCTAATCCGATTCTTGATCGTTGCTGTTTATTGTAATGTCATTCACATTTTGAAATATAATGGTTTCCGGTTGTATTTGATGTATATCTGTCAGTACTACTTCCGTATTGCTTATTATATTTTCGGTCGCTAATGTTCTTTTTGTCTTTGAACTAGCTGTCAGTAAATGCGAGTACTCTCAGATCTGTACTTATTGTCACTTTGTTGTTGGGATGTTCAAGTACCCGGCCACGTGTACCCTTTTTTTTTGTTAGATGTATTTCTATTTGTATCCATCTGATAAGTTAAGCCTTTTCCAACTGATTTTTAAAGTGTGTTTTTATGTTGTACTGTTAAAACACTGTCACAGGTTAAAGGGAGGGTTGGACGCACGCTAACATGTTTAACCATGCCACATTCTGTATGTGCCTGTCCCAAGTCAGGAGCCTGCAATTCAGTGGTTGTCGTTTGTTGCTGTGTTACATATTTGTTTTTCGTTCATTATTTGGTAAATAAAGAAGGCCGTTAGTTTTCTCGTTTGAATTGTTTTTCATTTGTCATTTCGGGGCCTTTTATAGCTGACTATGCGGTATGGGCTTTGCTTATTGTTTAAGGCCGACCGTATGGTGACCTATATTTCTTAATTTCTGTGTCATTTGGTCTCTTGTGAGAAGTTGTTTCGTAGACAATCATACCACATCGTCTTTGTTATATTTACAATTTTCTATCGGCATGGTATCGTCAATTTCGAAACTATTGCTACTTCATTAAAGGTTTCTATGTTATAACTTACACCAGAACTATGGGAATATTCTGTGTCGTCTGATACAGTTCTTATTTCATCTGTGTTTGAACACAAATGATCCTGATGCATATTTTTGGAACTTGCTGATCTTTCTACAGCTATAACATTCTCTCTATACACTTCCTGAATTAATCTCGTTAGATCATCGCTTATCTCTGTTAAAAGATATTAAAACAAAACTGGTGATAAGTAAACATGCGACTTCACATGTATATGTACAAAAGTATGATAAAAAATACCAAACTCCAAATAAATGTAAATTCAAAAAGGGGACAGTCTATGAAAATACAAATGTAACAATGAATAACAAAATCAAACGCTAGACTTTATCAACCAACGGAACGAATGGTAAAACAACTATCACATCAATGACTAGGTAAAGGCATTTTCTGAATGAAATGATTGTTCAGTTATGTTTAAAATGGTTGTATAGCTAGCTATTCCTTCCACTTGTAAAACAGTTGTTTATATTTTAATTATATTGATTAATGAATTGTATAAGCATCTCAACAAACATAAATGTACCCATCTATTGGAATTTGAGATATGACACGTTCGTCTGTAGGTAATCTGTTTGTTCTCCATACCCCAGGCATTAATAAATAGACAAACAAGCGCGCAATATACGTGAAATGTAACATTATACAGGGAAATTTCACTCACATCAATTTCACCTGAATTCAAATTCATGTGAATCTCATGTGAAATTCATTTGCATATTACATTAAACGAGCTTATACGTGAAACTCACGTGAAAGCGATTCAGATGGATGTTACGTGAATCTCATGTGAAACACGCGTGAATTTTTAAGATATAGTAATTCAAATATGATCTAAGTTTTTTTTCAAACTTTTTGAGATTTTTCCATTATATAATTTTTTTCTAAAGTTTTATTCAAAATAATATCACGAAGAGATGGGACGTGAGTTGATTGATAAACTGAATGTTTGAATTAGTTATTTTATACTAATATTGTTTTAAAGCTTTTGAGAATTATTTTATTTCATTTTAAGAATTCTTTATGTATCATGTATATAAACACTCATTCGGGCCCTGTAGTAGTATATATTTAAAACAAGATAATGCCTACACATAGATGTAACTTTCAAAATGTTTAAACTATTTTGTTTCGAAATGAAAGCTTAAGGACATAGGAACACCGTTGAACCCTTGTTGATTGTTTCTTTTAAATGATCTAAAAATGTATGCTATTGAAGAGCATTGTTCATTTAAAGGCATGAAGATGCGTCTTCAAAACAAGCGGGGCTAAGTTACATAAAGCAAAATACACGGTTGACGCGGTCTTTCTTCGTATCAATCTATTGTTTGTCATTCATGTTTAAATCTAGGGATATCAACTAAAATAAATAATCAATGGAGTAGTTAATTAGATTATTCTGCTAATGTAAAAGTAGTTTTGGCGCTTTATGCACTTTTGACACAAGCTCGTATCGAACGATATAAAACGGTTAATTCCCCACCCCCCCCCCCCCCCTTGCGGATTTTCAACACTGTAAAGTAGGATATTTCAGACACTTTGCCTATAATTACTTTTTATATTGGTTCAGATATAGTATGTCTTGTTCGGTGTGTATTTATTATATTGCACGATAAATAAAACACGAACATATGTGCAAAAACCTACTCTGTAATGTGTACAATCTCTGAAATTATAAAACCACGCGTTAGAGCGATTTTCCTACTTCTTTGACAGTCAAATGTAACAAAAACTCAGTATCTAAAACATAGAATTGAGAATGGGAATGGGGAATGTGTAAAAAAGTCATCAACCCGACCAACAAGCAAATAACAGCTTAAGGCCACAAATCGGTTTTCAACACAGCTACAAAATGACATTGCGCCACCTGCGATGTGGTATTTTCAAGAAAAGACAATTTCCAACGTCATGAGCGAAACCATGATAAACAACCAGTCCAAAATGGTGGTGGTGTTACCATGAGTAGTACAGAAACACATGAAAAAGGCGGATCCATGCAACTTAAAAGCGCTCAATGGAACCGTTGAAACACATACTATTGATGCAAAAGGATTAGATAAATTATATCCAATGTTATTCCTGAACCAGTAGTATATCGGAGTGCAGATGCTGCCGATAAATTTGAGGAGTGTATGATAAAGGAACAGGAAGAAATAGAACAGAGATTTAAACATTGCGAGCCCATGATCATTAGTTGGAGTGATTGACAATCGTTTAAGAAGGCAACTCTTTGTCACATATGTAAAAAAGAACTAGCAGACAATAGAGTTCGAGATCATTGTCACGTGATCGGAAAATTTCAAGGGGCGGCTCATAACGACTGTACTATTAATACAGGTTTACAGGTCGAATTCCAGTGGTATTTCATAACCTTAGGGGATATGATAGTCATTTGATTATGCAAGCTATTAAAAAAGGTGAAGGAAAGCAGCTAAATTGTATCGCTAATAATATGGAAAAATATATTTCTTTTTCATTTGGATGTATTGATTTTATAGACTCGCTCCAATTTATGTCTTCCTCATTACAAAAACTCGTGGAAAACCTTACCAAAGAAGTTTCGAGTAAATTTAGACACATGACGAGCCACTTTGGAGAAGAACAGATAAGCCTGCTTCTGCGAAAACAAGTATACCCTTACGAGTATTTTGATTCTGAGTAAACATTTTTAGAATCTAAACTATCACCGATTGAAGAATTTTACAGTACACTATCGGGAGAAGGTATAACCACACTGGACTATGCGTATGCACAACACGTATGGCAATTGTTTAACATACAGAATCTAGGACAGTACCACGATCTATACGTTCTATCAGATGTTCTTGCATTAGCCGACGTCTTTGAAAATTTCAGAGAGATCTGTCTCAACTTCTATAGACTGGATGCTGCACATTTTCATACATCGCCTGGTTTAGTCTGGCAGGCTGCATTGAAAATGACAGGTGTCAAGCTGGAATTACTAACTGATGTAGACATGCATTTGTTTCTAGAGAAAGGTTTAAGAGGTGGAATATCAATGATATCCCATCGTCATGCCAAAGCTAAAAATAAACATGTACCAAACTACGATCCAAATCAACCCATTATTCACGTGATGTACCTAGATGCCAACAACTTATACGGATGGGCTATGTCACAGGCACTTCCAGTTGAAGGTTTCAGATGGCTCAACGATTGTGAAATTGAGAAGCTAAACATAAGTGACGTTGCAGATGATAGTAAAAATGGTTATATATTAGAAATTGACTTAGAATATCCTAGGAAACTACACGACGACCACAACGAATATCCACTCACTCCAGAAAAATTGAAGTTTACAAATGATATGTCAATGCCCTATGCAGAAAAGCTATTGGACGATTTAAACTTAAAAAGAACATCGACAGAAAAAATGATACCAAGTTTATATCCAAAGGAAACATACGTGGTACATTACAGAAATTTAAAACTCTACTTATAACTTGGAATGACAAAGGTCCATAGAGTCATGACATTTGAACAACGACCCTGGTTAAAGACATATATTGATTTCAACACAGAGAAGAGAAAGCTTGCAAAAAATTAGTTCGAGAAGGATTTTTTTAAACTCATGAATAATGCAGTCTTTGGAAAAACAATGGAAAATTTAAGGAAGAGAACAGATATAAAACTTTTGAATGATCAATCAAAGGCCAGAAAATTAATCAGCAAACCAACATTTCATGCCTTCAAAATATTCAACAACGACTTGGTGGCTGTTCACATGCTGAAACAACGATTATACTTAAACAGACCTATCTACGTTAGATTCACTATACTCGATTTGTCAAAGACACTTATGTACGATTTCCATTATAATTACATGAAGGATAAATATTGGTCTAGAGCAACACTCTTGTTTACGGACACAGACTCACTATGCTTCAACATCAACACTGATAATATATATATCAAGATATGATGATCGACAAACACTTGTTTGATACGTCAGAATATAGCCCTGAACATCGGCTTTATAGCACATTAAATAAAAAGGTGTTAGGAAAGATGAAAGACAAAACACATGGTATTCCCATACAAGAATTTGTTGGTCTTAAGTCAAAAATGTACTGATATATTGGCTCTCAATAATGACGACTTCAGTAAAGAGATTTATCCTGCCGAACTGACTTGAATTAAAGCTAATACAAACAATGAACACTGCCCTTTCCTGGATCTTGATATCTTTATCTTTAACGGGAAGCTTAATACCAAAATTTATAATAAAAAAGATGATTTTTCATTTCCTATTGTTAATAATCCATTTTTAGATAGTGACCCTCCACTTGTCGCCATCTTATGGTGTTTATATATCTCAACTTGTTCGATTCGCTCGTGTATGTAACAACGTATTTGATTTCAACAAAAGAAATCTCTGTATTACTGAAAAATTATTACACCAGGGTTTTCGATATCACAAACTATTCAAAACATTTACTTAATTTTATCATCGGTACAAGGACATCATTCGTAAATATAAATTAACATGAAGACATCTTATACGTTCAGGTATTTCACATCCAATATTTTATGGTAATATTCTTTACAAAGCACAACAATATCGGCATTCACCTCAAAAGCTAACCAAACCTTTAAACAGACTTATTCGGAAAGGATATAGTTACGATACTGTTGTCAAGTCATTCAGGATTGCATATTTTGGAATTAATATTGATTCACTCATAGGGTCTATGCATCGGAAATAAACACATTTATTCTAAAACCAGTTGTTGGCATGATACGAGTTATGTTCTTCTCATATATTTTATGATGGTATAAACCAAACCCCTAACGGGAGTGATTGTACTTGATTTTCATATGATGAAGACATGATCTTTCAATCAGTTTAATTGAGGTCTGGAGCTGGCATGTCAATAACTGCTAGTAGTCCTTTGTTCATTTATGTACCATTGTCATTTTGCTAAGTTTCTTTTGTTACCTATTCTGACATCGGACTTGGACTTCTTTTAAACTGAGTTTTACGTATTGCTATGTGTTTCTTTATTCTACATTGGCTAGAGGTATAACGGGAGGGTTGAGATCTCACAAACATGTTTAACCCCGCCGCATTTTTGCGCCTGTCCCAAGTCAGGAGCCTCTGGCCTTTGTAAGTCTTGTATGTTTTTTAATTTTAG